TTATAGATGAAGAAAATTTATCGGGGTCAACCTGCTAAGAGTAATATTTGCCTAGAGTCAGCATTACTTGTCCGATTTTACCACAAAACTCGTGAAATTCTGCGTAGACGGCGCTGTTCGAGTGCCGACAATCTATTTTTATCCTGTTCCCGTAATGACAAAGCTTGTGCACTGGCCTAATTGCCGCAGCATACACTCGATCTTTCACAGACAGCTGGGTGTCGCAACGGTGCCATGGATGTCTCAATTTACCAATTTCCAACCGAGCCTTCTCGGTGCGTGCTTATGCTTCATCTGTAAAGCGTCCCTCAGGTGATATAGCAGCCCAAGTAAAAAATTTGTCTACTTCCTCGACTACTTCCCAAGTTAAAGAGACTGGGAGCTGGACCAACCCAGTCTTGCAGCAACATTTTACACTTAGAAAGTTCAAAACTCATACACTAACACTAAAATGATCCAGAAAAGCTTGCAACTTTTATGGATCTTCACGTAACAGCACGATGTCATTTGCATATTTCAGATCGGACAGTCTACCGCCTGGGAGCAAATCGATGCCAGAATTTGGAGAAAATGTGGCCTATACAACCTCGACCAGGTCTAAAACTAGCTAGGTTCTCAAGCGGGCACTGCTCGTGTGCGATGGACAACCGATGGAGTATAGCACCAGCGAGAAGCTCAGAGACGATGTTGAATAAACTAATTCCCCTGTGGTTTTCACAAGAGGAACTGTCACCTTTCTTGTAAATCGGTATAATGATCCATGGATACCTTTCAGTTTGAACCCCTTCGCTCTCCTATATTGTTCTCACGAGTTTCTTCAACTCTAAAGCCAAGGCTGACTCTCCATCCTTCAAAACAGATGGGAACAGCCCATCTGGACCGGAGGCCTCATATATTTTGAGGTAATTGATATTTCTGGTAACCGCCGTTTTAGATAGAGGACTGATATCTGTTGTGCAGTCTAACGCATTTGTTTGATAACACTTGTACACATCGCTCCTC